CCCCTCTAAACCCCCAATACTCCCCCAGCGCATACTCCCTCTCCCCAAGCATCATCCAGAACAACTCCGCGCTCTCCCCTCCGTCCTCCTCCTCCCGCCCCTCAAACAGCCCCTTGATGTATATCCTGGCCACGACGCGCTCATGAGCCAGCGACCCGCGCCCGTGCCAGATATACGACGAGGCGAGGAGCGTGAGGATGTATGAAAATCCGGAGCAGAGGTTCGCGATGCTCAGATCGAGCTCGTCAATGATCGCCAGCAGCAGCTCTGCTGACGATGTCGATGTCGATGTTGAAGAAGAAGGCAAAGACCGAACGACATGCATCGTCGTATTCTCGCAACTCCAATGCGTCCTGCTCCCCTGCCTGCACGCCAGCTCTCCTCCATCTTCCCCCTCAGCGCTCTGCGTCACCTCCTCGAGCGCCACACCGTACCGCCGCACCAGACCCGATAGCTTCGCGTGTTCCAGCTTGCCAGGGGTCGACTTCTTCCCGTACCAAGCCCAAACTTTTGTGTTGACTAGCCTGTTACCGGAGAGCTTGGACTTGTAGCGGTGGACGATCGCGAGCGCTTCGGTGTCGTGGAATGTTGCGGATGAGGGGGTGGGGAGGGCGGTGGCCGTCGTGCCCGTGATCAATAACACCTCGACAGAGATCGTGAGGATGCTCTTGGGATCGAACACGTTCTTTGTGTTTGCGTTGTGCGCGTTTACGAGCGCCGCGATGTCTAGAGTCGGTATGGGCCGGTCATTGTGCTCGATTGTCACCATGTCCCTCTCCTCGACCTTCTTCTCAGGTACAGCAGGCGCAAGCACATCCTCGTCTTGCAACACCGGCAACGGACTCCCACCCTTGCGCACCAACGTCGCCGCCGGTGTCCTTACCTCCTCCAACACCGGCAGACTCCCAAACGCGTCAAAGCTCAACCTCCGTCTTTCTAGCGGCGGCGCGACGAGCACCTTCCTCCGCTCCGACCCCGCAGAGGCTCTTCCTCAGCTCCGGGCACGAAGTCGAGCGGCGGACTTTCGGCGCGTCCCATCCATTCTCGTCCTCTACGGGCTCAGGCTTGGGTGCCGGCGTCCAGGACTTGCGATAGGTCGGCACGGGCTTGTTCGCTGGCAGACTCGCAGGCATTGGATCGGTAGATGGCGCCCAGTGCTCCTTCAGATCGCTCAACCTCTTCCCTCCCTCTCTCTCCCACTCCAACATCCCCCTGTCCACCTTTGAGCTGTGCACTAGGCTTAACAACGCTCGCCACAAACCCGCCCCCCTTCAACCGCGATATACTCGGCGTCGGATCTTTGTGCAGCGGCTGACGGCTGAACGCCGCGCTCGTGTTTACGGAAGGCGGCGTGCGCAGGCCGAAGGGGGGCGGTTTGGGCATGGGGTGGACGGGGCGCGCGAGGGAGAGTGTCGGTATTGCTTGAGAGGGGGTGGGTTTGGGCGATGGGCCCGCGGAGGGGAGGGGGAGGGCGTTGTCGAGGGTTTGGTAGACGCCGGTGTGGAGAGGGACGGTGTAGGCGCGAACAAGAGCTTCGGAGCCGGAGCGGGCGGTCTAGGCAACACAGCCGGTGTAGACGGCTTTGAAGTGACATAAATTGGTTTAGGCGCAGGCGCCGGAGCGGGTGATACAGCCCTCGGTGTAGCCGTAAATGTTGCAGTCTTGGGCGTGATGGGCCTTCCATAGTCCGGCTTGGACGACGCGGAAGCGGTCAGCGGTGGGTGTGCTGAAGGTGCGAGTGCGGATAGGCTCGGGCTTGGGGACGGGCGAGAAGTGAGAGACGTGGTCCATGTACCGCTTGATAGCCGGGTTGGACGTGCTCGTGCGCCGTTCGCGCACTATGGCCGGTGTCGTCTTTGTCGTGGGCTCCCTGATTGGCTGAGGGGACACAGCGCGTTCAGGCTCGGCCCTCCCCTTACTCGCGAGCCCGGGCATCGCGATGCCGCGGCGCCTGGATATGGGGTGCGGCGCGGCGCTGATCCTGTCCACGCTCCGCTGCCTATAGTGGTCGCTTGGATAGTCATGACTATCTCCTACAATTCCGGTCTAGCGGATAATCACCATTGCTACCTAAAGTGACTATCTTTTCTGCTGTTTGTATCTTTTGTAAATCAAGTCGTATAGGTGTAGGACTTTAAGGATATACTGATCTGTACTTCAATTAGTGTATACAATGGTGAAAGATATCAAATAAGTACTGTAGAGCCTTGCAATAAATGAATGAAAATGAAAAGGAAGGCAAACAACTGGCATAATCAGGAATTGAACCCACAACCTCATGCATTATTAAGACCTTATACCAGCTTAGCTATTCAACCACAGAGTAAGTAATGTGTTCTCAGACCATATACCCACATCTCTCTCACTTTGTATAGGCAAACTATATTGCTACTGCCCCACTACTCAAGTAAAATACTATAAAATACTCATAGTGGTAGTTGAGATAAATATGAAGCCCTTCAAAAGTATATATAGACTATGGGTGGTGTAGGTATTGCAATAGGTTGTAACACTGTTAAGGTTAGGGGTTTAGGGTTAGAGGTTAGGGTTAGAGGTTAGGGTTCAGGGTTAGGGTTAGGGGTTAGGGTTAGGGTTATGCACTCAACTCTTACAGTGGCATACAAAAAAAGCCCAGCGGATTCGTTCTTGCTTGAGGTGTACTAGTAGTATGTATTGCACTTACCGNACTCAACTCTTACAGTGGCATACAAAAAAAGCCCAGCGGATTCGTTCTTGCTTGAGGTGTACTAGTAGTATGTATTGCACTTACCGATACACTTGCACCTGTGCCCTGAGTCATGACAAGCTGGCACAGTCGGTATGTATTTAAGAAAACAAATTGCATGTCTGAAATGGATAATCAGATAGTCATAGCAATTGACTGGATAATCACTTTACATAGCAACGGTGATTATCCAGAAGACCCAAATTGCATGAGTATTGACTATCCAAGCGACCACAACTCCCGCTGCTCGAACTGTGTCGGGTCGTGCGCGTCCGCCTGGGGCGCGTGTTTGTTGAGGCGCGGGCCGCCTGCGCCGCCAGCGATTGCGGTTGCGGCGCAGAGGTGGCAGAGGAGAGTTTTGTGAAGGCGTTGGCTTGGTGGGTGGTGTAGTCCCGGAAGTCTTCATCTTCGCCACGCGTAGGACTTTGCCGTTCAGCTACTATCAATACGTAGTCAATACCATATCATATAGTATACAAAAAGAGTCGATACATACCAGGCGCCTCATCGACCACAGCCGGCATCCCGCTCCGACTCCCATATCCGTGACTCCTTCTCTTCCTCACCAGCCGACTCGCGCGTATCTCCTCCTCAAGCTGCTGCCACTGCTCCACCTCGTTGTCGTCCACCCGCCACTGGATCACTTTGATCTTCTCCGCCCATTCTGCGAGTCCGCTTTTGGGGTGTGTCAGAATCGAGAGGCCGCGTGACACAGAGCGTTCCATCGTGAGGTCATCAGGGTGGCCAATGGGCGATGGGCGATGGGCAATGAAAGTGGTGACAAGGATGGGGGTGGAAGATGGAAGTGCGAAAGTCGCTGGGTCGCGGTAAGGTTGTTGGAAGCAAGGGTCTCGCTGCGAGCTCGCGGGTGTTGGCAGTTGGAGGTGACGCGGAGTTGAAGCAGGGTGCAGGTGTGGTGACACCATGGTATAGTAGCGAGACGGTGGTAAGTAAGAAGATCAGCATTTGTTGACGGTCTTCTATGAAGAACGGCATCCCATGAGGCTTGTGGCGTCAGTTTCTCAGGAGTATATTTGAGCTCGAGTTGTAACATAGCCTCAGAAAAAAGGTGCATGACACCACCACATACTACTCTGTGACAGTCGACTGCATGTACCGTCATCCACCTCTGGGAAGACCAAAAGGACTACACCCAGGATGTAGCCCCCTGGCATAACTCTAAGACTTCACGTCTAAAGAGTGAGAGGTTTCATAGGTACATATAGCTCTGTATGCATAAGAGCGATGTGGGTGCATGGTGGTGGTGGATGCAAGGTAGGCTTCGGCGCTACATATCCATTTTCGACACGGTCACATGCCATTCAACAGAGCCACGCGGGTTGCAAAGGCATGACGCGTCATTCACGAAGCTGACCAAGTTGGCCTCTACCGCCAAAGTCTCAGAAACGCAGTGATTAAACGCTCGTGTTGCTCCAGATATGTTAGCCGCTCGCATTTTCGGTACCCGCGCTGACCTCCCAACAGAGCTGCTAATATCTGAACTGCTGCTGTTAATCCGCGTCGGGCGCGGGCGATGTCAGCTCGCGCATCCAACTTCCGCTCCGTTCTCTCCTTCTCTCCCTCTTATTTTTGTACATAGGTCCTATACTCTTTGTATTGATGTGTATTGTACATAGCTCGTATTATCTTGCTCGTCTAAAAATCAACTATCGTGTTCTATACCCTGCCCTGTCCACCGTTCTGTGCATTTTCCTCCCCTTTGTGCTGTGAGACCGAAAGAAGATAAAATGTCTATTTTTCTCCTCTTTGAAGTACAACAGTTGTGCTTCCTGGTTGGGCAGACGTAGCTTCGCGCCCATTGGTGTGTACCATCAAGTTGTTTCTGGGCATCTGCGAGCGAATGAGCGCCCAGTCGTTCCAGTGATGAAAGGTGCCTACCAGTTCTCCGTCCCGATGCGCTACTACAGCCCAAGACAAACCAAACGCGCTTCGCATGAGCCTCCGAACAAGCTCTGTGCAATGTTCAGGTGGGCTTTTGATGTCGTAGTGCTGCTGGCGCGCATCTCAGAGTGTATACGCCGCTATAGGATATCGCTGATCGAGTGCGAGCCGAGGGAGCTGTTCCGTGCGCCCGAGAGGCAGACGCGCTACGTCGTCACCTCGGCATAGGCCACCTCAGTCTTGCCCACAGTGTGCGCATTTGTAGTATATTCTGTTACACGAGCATCTCACATCAGCACGCAGTCGTTCCGTCTGCAGGAATGAAACGAACCCGCCCGCCCGGTCCTCTGCCCCAAATCCAATAGCAGATCGTTGGTAACAGTTTGCTTCGGCACTGCCAGTGTGATCAGGCTTCTTCTCCATAGGAAACACCGGGTAAAACAGGAGGGCTGCTCGTGTCGAAGTTGGACTGGGCATGCAGGCCATATCGGGCACGCGGAGCGGAAGAGGGAAAACAATCGGGCAGACATCTGCCCTCTGGGCCAAAAGCGCCGATGTTCATCCATTTGCCAGCTGGCACTGCGGAGCGTGGCAGAGTGTATTGTCATGGTGTTGCGTTCGAGGAGTACGCAGAAGGGTGGGGAGATGTCATGAAGGGTCCAGCAGCAGAACGGTCGAGAGCAAGGGCAGAGAAATTGGCGCACGCAACCGCATACTGCTCTGTGACAGTCAAATGTACGTACTGTCATCCGCCTCTGGAAAGACCAAAAGGACTACACCCAGGATGTAGCCCCCTGGCATAACTGTAAGACTTCACATCTAAAGAGTGAGAGGCTTTATCGGTACATACAGCTCTGTATGCGTAAGAGCGATGGGGGTGTTCCTCGAAATGTGCTTGTTCCTCGATTCCTCTAGAGATGAAATAGTTCCCGCGTTCACTACATGGGAATGTGCGCGTGCCGCGTCGACCGCACTTTGGCTTTGCGCCACCAACACCCGATCATGGCCCAATTGCAAATGTCTGCATTCCTAAACCTCCCTGCTGACATGCGGTTTGAGATCCTGCAGTGGATCCCTCTCATGCGAGGCGATCCGAAGGAGACACGGATGACAACAGTGCGTCCTCGATTATATAGCAATCCTGTCAATGATGCTGACTCTAGTGCAGGCACATGGTCCTTGAGATGGTCCGGCCTGCGTGGGACATGCACTGAAATGTACAACCTGGGAGAGGCCCAGCTCCCTGCCTCCCAGATGTGGGTCGCAAGCAAGGCAGAAGTGGAATGTCTGACGGATGCCGTACGACTTGTTCTCTCTACACACGCTCTTATCTGACATGCACTCCAGATCATCAAGCACATCAATGCATTCAGCAACAGGCGTCCACCATTCGTACACAGGCCGTTCTTGAACATTCGCACTGTTGTCTTTGGTGCCAACCCTCTGATGGAGTCAGCGTACTTAGTGCCCGCAGTCGCATGAGCGCTTTGAACGCGGAAAGCAAAGGATGCGCTGCGCGGTCTAACGTCTCTTAAGGAGCTTTATGTGTTTGGCGTGAGCGGCTGCGAGGATGACGTGCTCGTCGCTTGCTCAAAGATCTTCAATTACGCTGCGTCCAGGCTGACGGTCTTGCGAATCGACTTTTGTGATGCCACAGACGTCCGCAGTTGCTCTATTGGATGAGCCCGTTTTGCATACTGAGATGTGACACAGTGTGATCCAGGACAGGAAGCTGACAACCTGATGCCGCTCCGCAGGCTCTTTCACAGGTGCCCGCTCGAGTACCTTGCCATATCAGACCCGATGATCCCCCTTCCGGGTATACTGAGGGCGGAGGACAAAGAGGAGGAGAGTGGTCCGCTGGGTCCATCTTTGCTGAGGCTCGACGGACAACAGGTTTCCCTTTCTGTCGTTCCATACGACGATGGCTATTACCTCATCAATGACTGGGAGGTCATTTTCTCAGCCGCATGCACAGTCCTCTGTTCCAAGGACAAAGGTGTTGACCGGTTGTCAACCACGCTTCAGGAGGTCGATTTTGCAGTAGGGGCCGGGTATGTGTTAAAACAGGGAGTATCTTTGAGAGTGTCATGTGCAAGGCACGAGGGCCAATGGCGAGCTAGCATTTTTATCGAGAATGGAGACGGGGTATTATGCAGTGCAGGGTGCACCTGCACTTCTTCATCGTGAGTTTCTACTGCAGTCTGGGCAGATAATCGTCTGACATTACCAGGCGCATCTGCTACATACCGCTATCGGTCAACGAGGACAGAGAGAGGCACGCGTAGTGGGACATGTGTGACAGGTGCTACAACGGCAACTCCCACATTGCATCACCGGAATACGCTTGTGTTGTCGGGAGCAAGCTCATCGCATCAAAGCGTTTCAAGTACGTGTGCCTCGCTACCGAGTCTCGTCATACTGATCTGGAACTCAGCGGTAATCTCACACAATCCCGATTCTACACTCTTGATTGAAAGCAAATGTCGCTCCTTACTTGTACAGATACCGTATCTCTTGACGAAATGTACACATAACATGCGCTTGTTTCACTGCCGTTGCGGTTTCCGTTCTGGAAGATGGGTAGCTAGATCCATTCTCCGTCTGCTTTGGGTCTCAGCCTCCATTCAAAACTGTCAAAGCCATGGCCTCTAAATGTGCATTAGATCTCGTGCGATGACGGTTCGGGCTCACTCACCCATCGGAAAAGGAGTGACACATTATAAAATTGCTCCCGATCGTGTCCGCGTAGAGGGGAGATGGCCGTTGCCAGCTCTCTCCATCGTAACAAGAGCTCACAGACCACATCCCTGTCGGGATCTCCACCATATCGCCGTTGGTGAGGGGAATGTATGGATCTTTACTGAGGGATCCTCAGTCTCGTGTTGTCATGCGTTATGCGGCCACTCACTGGGACAGACACTCACAACTCAAAAAGCGGAGGTCTTCAATGATTGTGGCCATGCGAACATTGACATTGCACTGTGCTCCAGCCTGCTTGACACAATGGGCACGCGCTTGACTCTCTTCCAACTGTCCCAGAATGAGATCGACATGCTCGAGCGTGTCGCTCATTGCAGATGGCGATGTCATGAGCATTCTGCAGGTCTCAAGACAGACGGCCTGCCAGAACTGCACCTCGCAAATTGTGGTGCCGTCCTCGAGTGTGACTTTATTGTCGTCAATTTGGTCACTTTGCAACGGCAAGCGTACGACATGTCCAGCAACAGACAGAGATGGGCCGATAGGACCTTGGAAATTCTGCGTGTCATGGGCTCCGTCCTCACCCAATATGAGCATCATTGAACATGTCTGGGACCATGTTGACAAAGCTCTATGCTGTCGCAAACATCGGCTGACCACTGTCAACGAGCTGTGGGAGGCACTTCAGGAAGAATGGGCAAAGATTGATGTTTCGTACATTCGCTCCTTGTATGACTCAATCCCTCGCCGTGTAGATGCCTTACAGAAAGCTAAGGGTGGCTATACAAAGTACTGATACACAATCTCGCTGTAGTCCTATCTGTTCGCTCACTATGGGACATTTTCCGGACCCCATTTTTTTGCACATTTTTCTAAATTCTTAAAAAATTCATATTTAATTGTTGTTGACTTTAATTCATACTGTTCTGCTTTCCTTTAGCCTTGTCCAACCTATATACTCGTAGTGAAGACATGATCCCATGGTATACTGTCAATACTGTGTGGGAGAACCATGCTCAATGTGGCACAAAAATCCATTGCACGTGTCTGTAGTTATCTCCTTTCCATGGCTAAACTAACTAGTGGCCATGTTGCGAAGTTCATAACTATCCATAACTATTCTAGTGTCTACTATAAATGGCAAACAAAGCCAGTTGCTCGAGCTGACAGAGCACGGAGTGGATGTCACTAGAAAAGTTGCTAGTCATGGCAAAAGTCATACATGCCTAGTCCATTTCTGCAATGCCCCCTTGACTAGGCATTGGCCAATTCCGGAGATATTCTTGAATTAATATATAGCTCACTAGTACAGTACAGATAA